GTACGTGTGTTTTGTACAGGGGTTTACGTGAGAATTAGGAGGGTCTTAGACTTCGATTTTTCAGGGTGCAGTACGATGCACAACTCCTTACATATTTACGTTAACTTTTACACTTAAAAGCTAGTACGTTTTCTGAGGTTCCAAAGGGTCTCTGCTAGCTCGCCATGACATACGCGGTTTTGAAAGGACTTTTGCTAGTGTACTACTTAAGTATTTTTCTAACGGAATTGATGCGTATGTGCGGTATGTTTGGTACGTTTCTGTACGATCCGGACGTCGCTTAGATTTGTTGTGTACTCGTAGTTCAACTGGATTTTGGGCTGTATTGTACATTATTTTCCTTTTTACCTGTTCGATGGGCGAGCAGTGACCATTGAGGAATTAGGCGCTTACTGACATGTAGAGGTTGTGAGGTCACAGACTCCAAATCGGCTCAAAATTTGTGGAAAAATCAAATAAAATACGGGGAACACGATGCAATAAAAATTATCTGCCAATGGGCGCTTTTGTTTAATAAACTTTTAATTTTAATGGAAAAAAGTGCACCTGAAATGCACTTTTAGCTGCTTTATCGGGCCTTACGGCTTGGAAAAAATGTTTTGATGAAATTTTCATAGCAACCACGACACTAGACACCTTTCTACACCTGAATAAAAATTGTTCGGCAAAAATTTTTTTTCACGGAAAGTTAGACGACCTATCCTATAGCCCCGGGTCCTGGGAGGTTGGCAGCTGTTTACAATAGGTGTTTCTGGCTCCTAGGCGCTTTAAATCGGAGCACCGAGATATTTCAGATTGCCGGAATAATTTTATTTACGAGGTTGGTTCAAATAATATTTATTAACTATTGGGTTGGTGTTCATCGAGCCGGAATAGGTAGGTCGACCTTTTTAAAAAACTTCCAAAATTTTTGAAATTTTATTTTTCTGTCCAGGCGACTCCTAGGGATTAATAGGACCGAAAAACTTTCAGAAAAACTTTCGAGACCCTCTCCGTGCAAAATAGAAGCGAAAACAGCAAAAAGCAAAAATTGAAAATAACGACGGGATCCGAACCTTCGACCCATAGCCTGCCACCCGTGCACCCTACCCCTACACTACCGATCCGACGGGTTGGGGAGCTTAGGAACGCTTCAAGAGTTCTCCCTTGCGCGAAACGGTTTTGGCGACCCAGGCGCGTTTTTAGGTAGTTTTCCATACAAAATCTTAAAATCAAAAGTTTATTAAACAAAAGTGCCCATTGGCAGATAATTTTTATCGCATCGTGTTCCCCGTATTTTATTTGGTTTTTCCACCAATTTTGAGCCGATTTGGAGTCTGTGACCTGACAACCTCTACATGTGAGCAAACCGAATAAAAAGCCAAAATAACAAAATAAAAATAAAAAGCCAGGGGTCAGGTGAGCTAGCAGAAACCATTGCATCCCAAGTGGACTACCAGAAATCATTGAAGATCCCGAAGTCAAAAGTTCACACCTTTCTAACAAGGGAACCACAAGTTGGCACGGTGGAATTTCGAAAAACGCTCGCGGCTACCCCTAGGTTTTCGACGACGGCGATTCCAACGCGCTAGTCAGAATTAGCTAAATCGACCTGTGGACAGAGATACAGCACTTCCGGAAAATGGTCAATTTACATTCGGGGCATTTAGCATTCACCTCAGGGTTTATGAGGGCTTCCCATCTCAGAAGAATCACCAGTTGAATGGCCGGGTGGTAAGCGGCTAGCTTATTCGAATTAGGATTCGAACCCTGGTCAGTATCCTAATAAGCTAGCCGCTTACCACCCGGCCATTCAACTGGTGATTCTTCTGAGATGGGAAGCCCTCATAAACCCTGAGGTGAATGCTAAATGCCCCGAATGTAAATTGACCATTTTCCGGAAGTGCTGTATTCTCTGTCCACAGGTCGATTTAGCTAATTCTGACTAGCGCGTTGGAATCGCCGTCGTCGAAAACCTAGGGGTAGCCGCGAGCGTTTTTCGAAATTCCACCGTGCCAACTTGTGGTTCCCTTGTAAGTTCAGCAACGGTTCCGGATTCTCGAAAACAACATAAACGCGCTCTCGAAATGGGCGCTATGACCTCATTAAAATTTAGGCGAATCTGAATTCAGCCGATCTGATCATCACACAACGTAAAATACGGTACCCGGCACGCCAGTCATCAAATAGGCTGGAATCACTGCAACTTGATATGATAAACCCTGTGGGTGCCAGGCTCCGGCTCCGCAGGGTAGTTCTTGGTTTTCCGGGAGTTGTAAAAATGCTTTCGAGAGAATCGAGACATGGGAAAAATTGATGAAGCTTGGAAAAATAAAAGTGTTTGCAAATGAAAAAAATCACAGAACAAAAATAGGTGCGCCAGAAATTGTCAGATTTATCCATATACATGCTTTTTGCAATACTATTTTTCTTTATTATAAAAAGACCCTTTGCCCGGTTCTCAAAGGATCGCTGCTCTCAAAAACCCTCAAAAATAGGACCCTTGGTATTTTTGGATCTTCCGTTCGCCAAAAACGATTACTCTGATTCTCAAAGAATCCCTGCTAGCTTGCCCTCAAAAATTTCACTGAAAAGCACCAATTAGAAAACTACCAGGGTTGAAAAACCGCTTCGCGGCTTTTCAACCCTGGCCCCGTATAACGCACACATATTTCTTCCCGAACCTTGATTGCAAAAAAATAAAAAGGACTCCCCTACCCCCTTATATAGGCTTTCCCCACTACCGGTGCATGCAAATTGGCTCCTAACAAAGAGATTTTCCGATATCTTTACAAAAACCCAATTTGAATTGCGAAAACAGTAATTTTTCAAAGCGTTGATATGTGTGCACTCATCTCGGCACCATTACGCACCTAATGACGTATCATACGTACCCTAAAAACCTTCCCCTGAGGCTGTAGGTGGGAGACAACCTCACGGAAGTTGCATGCAAATGCACACACACAGACACTATTTTTTTATATATAGTAGGAATATAGTAGGATAGTAGGATTTGAATGTGACTTTTCAAACGTCGGCGGATTCAATTCCTCGAATCAAATCTCTGCTAACGCTCAAATTCCTAAAACAACCAAAAAATATGGTTACCAGGCCCTTTAAAATCCTCCCAAATTTCACTTCAATTTTCTTCTGATATTTAATTTATATTTTATACAAACTGCATCTAAAATTTAACAATTATGCAAAAATCAACTTCTGCACCTTTGAACTCAAATTATTCGTCAACACCTCCGCCTTTTTCGAGTCGGGTTTTCATCTCCCCCTTGCGTTATCACAGGTTTTTCGGCACCCCGGTTTTATTACCGGCATAACGCGCGTGCTTCACCCATTTTTTAATCGCCACTCCCTTTTCCGGCAAGTCGGCAAACACAGCGTTTTTTTCCGGAAATTCCAATGTGTTTTGCACCGTTCAGCAAAAATCTGAAAGTCATGTGCTTCGCGGGGGTCTCGTGGTGTGCTGCGAGTTTTCGGAGCTGTCAAAGCTCGAGTCAGCGATACCAAACATGGAAAAGCATAAAGGTACCACTTTTTTGGGGTTGCAAAATGTGAGTGGCATGGGGTTTGCTGATCGGAAATCAGAATCTGGAATACTGAAAATTGGGGGTTATTCAAAAAGTTTTTAAAGGGGCTAAGATGTAAAAATTTGCGCGTTTGGGTTCGAACCTATTGGCCAAATAACGAAAGGGATATCGATTTACTTCGTGGCAAAAAAAAGCTAAATCTTGCAGTAAAAACAAAATCTGTCTGGAAAGAAGACATCTTTTTGGGCTCATGTGAGCTATATACTGTAATGTGTTGCCTGTAAAGCCCCCAATTCCTCGACCTTGGTCATTCCCCGGTCAATTTTCAGAATGGAAAAAGCTAAAATGGCTAACTCCACCAGCGGATACTAAAAAAGACGTCGGAATTTATGAAATTCATGAACTTTTCACGCCGAAATCGGGACAAAAGAGCATGCGGCACGGTCGGGTTGCGGCGGTATCTGACTAGTTGCCAGGAATCGACGCTGGGCTCGTAGGCTGGACTTCGGTGAGAAATTACATGAGTCGAAGCTCACATTGAGTTCTTTGTATTCCAAATAGTTTTAGCAAAATTTGAAAAGCGAGTCAAGAACCATTTTCAATTCTGATACATTCCAGGCGATAAATTCGACAAAACGGGGCAGACTAGCGGAAGACGTTGTGAAATTAGAAAACCTAAAATTCTGTTCGATTGATGTTTCCGGATGTTTTTTAAAGTATCTGAATAATTTTCGAGTTCAGCGTAAATAAAGCCGTTTTTTGCGCGTATCTTGGTGCTCCAATACCTTAAATATCCTATACAGCGAGCGAAATGACGCAAACAAATGAAACATCAGTCACAATCGTCCAGCGCAGAATTGGATTTTCAACTAATTAAATTCATGATTATGCATCGACGACTAAATCAAAGTCTCCACAAAATATTAGTTTGTCCAGCCTCCAGAATCTCTTTAAGTCTCAAAGATCGGTAGATGCTTACGAAAAACCGCCGATTTGGTGTAAATCGTACACAGCTCGAGGCGCCAGTGGAAAATATTGACGCGATTAGCATAGAGAGGTCTCGTGTCCTTGTCGTCGCTGAAAAACATCATCCACCGCGTATAAATGTCAATCGGGCTTGATCGGGGTATGAAGGAGCTGGCTGTTTTTTTTCTGATTGGCATTTCCTAGAAGCTCCTAGATAGACCTGGCTTTTTTTTCGTTATTTTACCGCTTCTTTTTCATACAGTAAAATAACTTAAAAACCTTCAATACCCCAAACCTAGAACATTTTTTCTTAGCTAAAGTAAAGTTTCCTAAAACACATTCAAGAATTTTTATAATGGCTTGGACATTGTGAAATTTAAGTATTTTCTCTTTAACTTAAAAATTTCCCATTTGTAGAGATTTTTTTTCATAACTAGCGTTGCGTTTTTTATCTCATTTTCCCGTTTTTTTCAGCTAAAATTACCACCACCGTCTATCAAAAACTACGCGAAAATGCCCGGCGTCATGGAGCAGGTCAAGGACGCGATTAGCGGGGCTTCTGAAGCGGTCAGTTCGCAAAAAAAAATTTCATTTTGCGTCCTGAGCATTGCATAACAACGGCGGTAGACGGCTGCCCCTTAAACAACAACTTAAACGATACCAAAAACTCACTAAATTCGACCAGCTAATAAAGCAATTTTTCGATTTCAGATCAAGCACAGCTTCGATGGTATCACCGTTGGAAATGACCACGAGGGCGCGGATCGCTACGAGGTCCGCAAGCGCTGGGAAGAAGCCAGGGAGAGGGCCAGTGATGAGGTAAAATATCTCTATCTCGCTCTCTCTCTCTCCGTCTCTGTCACTTTCTAGCTCTGTCTGTCTCTCCACTCTCTCTCGCTTTCTCTCACTCTCTCACTCTCTCTCTCTCTCTATCTTGCCTAACCATCGCTCTGCAAATTATAACGCATCAAATCTCCATTTCCAGATTCGCGCTCCCGGCTTCACCCCATCTGATGGTGATCGCCTGAGGCAGACCTTCGAGCGGATGTCGAAATATTAAATCAAATGGCTATCCACGTGTGACTACTTTTCCTATTTTGTAAATGAATAAATTCATGCCGTAATGGATACCCAACAACGCAACATCCCTCTCTTAGTTTTCCCATGAAATAGGAAGCCAAGTTGTTCCCCGGAAGGGGGCCAACGAACGCTTCCATGAAATAGTCAGCAGCTGGGCACAAGAGACTTGCGCGTGGCTTAGGTTTTAGTTGGTCGATTTAGGTTTTCGGAAGGGGTTTTTGAGATTTCCAAGACTGTACGAGAATTCTTTATAGAGTTGCTTATAGAAATCTGAAAAAAATAATTTCCTGGCCAAAATCAAAAGTGATTAATTTTAAAATTGAGCCGATCTCAGCTAATCAAAATCTGGCTTACTTTATGCACATCGAGCTGTTTTTAAAGTAAAAGCACAGCAAAGATTGGCCAGATCAGTCAAAAGGGTGAATTTTCGGACCAGGGCACCAGCCCTTTAATGTTGTCAGTGTCAAGAGGAGGCAGTGGACGCGTAGCGGTCGCGCTGCGGTTGGCACGCTTTCACTTTCTCCCACTCTTTCGCTCTCTCTCCCGCTCTCTCGCTCTCTCTCGCTCGCTCTCTCTCTCTCGTTCTCTCGCACTCGCTCTCTCTCTCGCTCTCTCTCGTTTCTCGCACCCACTCTCTCTCGTTCTCTCTCTGTTTCTCTCATTCGCTCTCTCTCGCTTTCGCTTTTGCTCTCTCTCTCGCTTTCTCTCTCGTTCTCTCTATCTGTCTCTGTCGTTCTCTCTCTCTCGCGTTCGCTCACTCTCTCGCGCCTCCGTCTGTCTTTTCTTCCCTCTCTCTTTCTCTCTCTTTCGCTCTCTCTCTCTCTCGCCAAGTAAGACGCATCGAAGGCGCCACTCGTCTCTGGGACTATTTTCAGGATCGTAAAGTCAAGCTTTCCCAGAACCCACTGCTAATTCTCCTCTCCAGTTTCTTAGTTTCAAAAAATTTGCTGCCAAATCTGTTATTTTTACGATTTTCACCCCGTGCCGGCACGTTCTTTGCATTTCCCGGGGGCTTGTAGACGTTCCGCGGGAAATTAAACAAAACTATCAGCCGGCGACATCTGATCCAGACAAACACCCAAAAAAAGTCCGTAGTTTACGTCCTGTTCCCCCCGGAATGATGGCAGATCGAGCCCTCCGATTTTTGCTATAAACAGTTAGGGGCGCTGTAGTCGATCAGGACCCAAAAATGGCCACAAATTTGGGATTTTGAATCCGGCGAAACATTTGGAATTTTGAATCCCTGGGGACGGGTGACTCCAAATGATAAGCTTTGTTTTCGACATTTTACTGTTTTACTGTTTTTTTATGCTCAGTCATGCGTTTCTCGCCTCGGAGAATGGTATTTATAGCAGGAAATCAGCGGTTCCAGCCACTTAAAGGAACTTGGAAGGCAGAAATCGTAAGCTTTCCCGCTTAGAACGCTAAATCGCGCCGCGGTAGTTTGTCTCGCTAAAATTTAGTTAGGGATCTTGCCTTTCCGATCTCTTTAATGCCCCAAAAAATCCTAAATAGCAATTTTCTAAATTTTTTTGTATTCTTCGATCAATTCGCTTGATTAGAGAGCGGCAAAAAGGAAGAAAGGGAGAGAGAGAGAGAGAGAATGGAAGAGAGAGAGAGAGACCCCGAGCGAGGTAGAGCGCGAGAGAGAGGGAGAGAGAGAATGCGAAAGCGAGAGAGCGAGAGAAGCCCAGGAATACCCAAAAAATGACCAACTTGGCCTTCAGCCATTTTTTGCCGCAATGCTTTTCCCACGACGGCCACCGAGGGATTCTTGGAAATTGGCTCAATTTTTCGACTTTGTTCCGTTTTTGTCGGGTCAGCAGGGAAGGCCAAATTTGTCATTAATGAGCTGTGTTTTCAACTTATAAATTCGTAAATTTAATAAAATTAATTTCTTCAATTTCAATTAATTAATTTCAAAAATTATTATGGTATTTTGTTACACTAAAAATAGCAAAAATGGCCAGACAAATAAATAAAGCGTAAATTTCATTAAAAAAGTTAAATAGATTATCAAAAAGCTATAATAAGCGTCTTTTGAGTTTTTCCAGGTCCACGAATATTCAGAGATTTAGTGTATCCAATTATTCGATTTTTGCATTTATTTTGGTATTTTAGATTAAACGAATTTCATAACAACAGTTAACTCAAAAAAGAAAAAAAGAAAAAACCGCAAAAAAAATCCGAGAAATAGATTTTTTTGCTTTTGCCCCTATTTTTCACTTGTTTCGCTTCTGCATTGCCCTCAAGATCCCCCGGAAAAAACGTTCCGTCTGCTGCCGGGAATTCCGGCCAAAAAACGCCTTTCATTCGAATCTTCGTGCCCTGATCTGCACTTTAATTTAGCACGCGTTTCCTGTTTTTTGGTGTGGAGGGTCATGGCCAGGGTCCAAGATGTGACCACGCGGTGGGGTTCCCCCTCTCTAATGAATGTGCTCTCGGTCAGCAGACTTTTCTCTTTCCGGACGCCCCGGACCCGGAAACGGCAGATTATGCTAAAATTACCCTTAGCGTTGCTGGGAATAGAATTAGAAGAATTGTTAAAAAAACGGGGTTTTTCGATTTTTGCAAAAAAAAACAGATATTTTGCAGATTTACTACCTTTCAACATACTGTTTGAAAGAACATTCAGACATACCAGAATGCAGGCGACCCGAGAATTTTGCAAAAAAATGGGATTGTAGATTTTTTCAAACCCGGAAAATATTTGCAGATAATGTAATTTAAAGATTGGTACCTTGTTTGGGGCAAAATCTGATATTTCTTATCTAGGAGCGTTCAGACTTTAGCAACGATTCAGCGCTTGGACGCGATACGCGCGCGGATTGCGACGCGTGCGCAGCGCTCACGCAATGTAAGGGCCAAGACGCGTCCCGTGTCGCGGCTCGTCAAATTTTTTTTCTGCGAATCGGCCCTCTGATGATAACCGTCAGATGATTCTCTTTCGATTCCCTAATTCCAGGTGTCCCCCTCGCCGGGATGGACGCGCAGAATGCGCTGATCGCCACGATCCTCCAGGAGAATGGGACTATCACATATGTGGACACACTCACGCAACTGAATGTATCTGTCAACAGTATTGAGGATTTTGTGAGTTACTTACAGAAAAGAGAGAGGGAGCGAGAGAGAGAGAGGGAGAGCGAGAGTCAGAGCGAAAGAGAGAGAGCGAGACATTGAGATAGACATAGTCAGAACGAGAGCGAGAGCGAGGGAGAGAGAGTGAATGAGCGCTAGAAAGACAGATATAGCAAGAGACGGTGAGAGAGAGATGAGAGAGAGAGCGAGAGCGAGGGAGAGAGAGACAGAGCGAGGGAAATCACTAAAAATGTTTCCCTTACAGTACCAAGGCTGCGACCATTTCCTTCGCTTTACCCGTGGCAGTATCGAGATCTGGCTCCTCCGCTATGTACTACCCTTTCAAATCGTCCTTGGTATCTTTGGCAACTCTCTGAATTTGGCGCTTCTGGTATCTGTTGGGTTACCGTCGCAGGTTTGTTCTTCATTTTTGTTGTATTGTTACTTCTCTTTTTATTTATTTTCCTTGGGGTCTTTGAAACATGCCTATGGTAGCGAAACGTCCTTAGGACATGACACTCCTACTGACGGCAATGGCAGCGATGGACATATCACTTTTATTATGCAACATTCCGTATTTTCTATCGGTTCTACCGGCAATGTATGTACATCCTTACTTCAGGTAAGCTAGAATACTAGAATTTATAGTTAATAGGTTTAATTCACCTTTTTTGCTCACTTTATGACTTTGATAAGTCTGGATTTTTAGAAAATTTTACTACACGACGCACGTCCTCTTCCACAGCTTTACAAATATCTTTACGGCCGCAGCGACTTGGCTCGTACTGGCGATTTCTGTTGAGAGGTAGGCGAGCAAAGGTCATTGGGGAAGGATAGCGAGGGAGAGCGAGAGAGGTAGAGCGAGAGAGCGAGAGATCGAGAGAGAGGGAGAGAGGGAGAGAGAGAAAGAGCGAGCAAGAAAGAGATTTTTCAGATTCATCGTAATACGATCACCATTTCACTCTCGGCTACAGTCCAGCAACACAAAAGCCTGCAAGACCATTTGCTACATTTTGATAGGTACTGTCCTCTTGTCGTATTTTGCATTTTTTTGTTTTGAAAAATTAAATATGCGCCACATACTCTCCAGGGAAAAATCGTTATATGTGTAAAGCTTTTTAGGCGCTGTTTTCGTCTCCTTCTTCCACTTCTTCGAGCATGATTACGATTTTTCGGCTACCAACGGGCGAAGGCCGGATGCCGGGGTAAAGTATTTTGTCTTTTCTGCCCGGCTGAGCCCGTCCTAGCCTAAAATGACTAGGATTTCGTGCCTCCGCGAAACGCAACGCGCTCAAAACTTCACGCTTTGACGCGGCTCCGGCAACTTCCAAATAAAATCAATATCTTCTAGAATTCAAGTTACGACTTACCAGCCCATTTAAACGTCATGCTTTTTAGCTAGCAAAATGGTGCTTCCGCGTTTTCCCGTACGCCCGTCTCGACCGTACCCCCAAAGTTGAACTTCTCGGCATCAGCAACCACCATATCATCGACTGGGCCAAAATTTTGGCCATTCTGATTGCTGTTGGCGTGCCGCTGATACTAGTTCCGATCTTCAACCTAGCAATTTTCTGCGTGCTTCGGAAAAGACCGTAGGTTTATGACATTTCTCTCCCTATCTCTCCTCTCGCGCTCTCTTTCTCGCGCTCACTCCCCCACCCTGTCACTCGCAGTCTCTATCTCGCTCTCTTTCCCTCGCTCTCTCTCTCTCTCTCTCTCTCTCGCTCTCTCTCTCTCTAACTTTGTCTAACAATTTATAGTTCATTGTTGCAAAAAGCCAATAAAAAGACTTTTTCAGGAAAACCGTGGCCACCCGAAGCTTCTCGGCCTCCACTTCCATTGACAGCGAGCAGCCGATTAGGTAAAGCTATGTATCTATCTCGCTTTTTTTGATTTGAG